GCACAGAGACTGACAGGTTGACAGGTTGAAATAATATGGTGAATACCCAAACTATTGAGGGTGCTCTTCATGATTATCAATGTCATGTGAGAAGAGGGGAAGAGGGGAAGTGTAGTCTTAAAAAATTAATGTTAACTTTTAGTCATAGAGAGTCATGTTTGACAGGAACTGTAATAGACATTCAAACATGTTTCTGATGAGTAGAAGTTAATTAATCAATAATCTTATACTGTATTCAGAATAGTGATAAAAATAGTATTAACTAAGCCAAAAATCCATAACTTGAAGATTAACTTTGAGTTTCCATGACAACATCACATTGTCCACAATGTGTATAATTTTATTCAAGCAATATTTCTAAAATAAAGCTTTAAAAAAGTCTCAACAAGAAATCCAGATGAAATATTTAAAATAAAGTTGCAGTTTAGATGGTAAAAATATCATCATAAAGAATGCAGAAAAAAATAGACAAGTGGATACTGCTCAATTTTGATAAATTAATAAATATTTTCCCATTAATGCATAGTAGACACTAACCTTGCAATAATTAGTTCCATCAGATGATGCCATCTGTCATTAAGTTTGGCAAGTTTATACTCAATGTCATTGGACTTGAGTTCATTGCTGGCCTTCATTAAGCGTTCACCCAAGTCAATAAGCTGGTCTTTGTTGTTGCCTGCTGCTGCAATTTCATCTTTAAAACCCTGAAGGGAAAACATATAGCCACATAATCATATTACAAATGTATTTAATAATAAAGAACAATATATGAATAATTTATGCACAAATATCTAAAAAGACATCTGCTCCAGGGATAACAATAAAGAGCGTAACCTGATGACAAAAGACAAAGAGTGGGATATGTTTGTATTGTATTCATAATGATTCGGAAGAATATAATACATAAAAACGTGGTCTCAAAATGTTGTAAATGCAAAAAATATATATAATATTTATTCATGAAGTTAACCAATTATCCTAAATAAAAAAAACATGTAACAAATTACTAGTCTACAGATGAGTCAACAGTAGGAAAAAATAGCATAAAAAGTAAATATTGGGAAAAGAGTTAATATTCTGAATAATATGTACAAAATACAATTTTAAATTGATATTTCTTATATTTTAATTAATTTAACATAATTTATTCATGAGCAATATTGCTTCTTTTAAGAAGGTAATTGTCAAAAAATAAGCTTGCAAACAATCATCAGCAAAGAGATAAACATACAATTGATGAATTAATAAAATTATTCTTACAACATCAACAAAATATCACAAAAATATTCTTGTGAAGATTATTAAATAATATTTTAAATATTATCTGAACATGTAGAAATCAGGAATAACAAACAGCAAATACTAAATCACAAAAAAATTATTGAAATTTTGAAAATGACACCTATAACAAAAAATCGCGAGAAAATTGGCATAAAAATTTAATTTGTTGCATATGCCAAAATGTATACAATATAAATTACCCTTTTCAGTAACCTCCGAAACCTCTACGCACGAGGAATGGAGCAATAAGCAACGTGAATACTGCCAAGCTAGCTACATCCTACATAAATGATTCACAATCAAACTTAACATACCTTCCACAGACGCACCCCTTGGGTTAGACTTGCTATCGTGTTATCTAGCATTGTTTTAATCCTATCTATCCTCAGCCTACAACTGTAGTATACAGTATACTACACAGCAAATTCATATAAAATGTCTTCTACTGACTTTTACATGACCTAAACAATAATAATAATATCCATTTGTACGGGATGTTCCATTTCATTGCAGGGGAGGTCACAATCATATTAGATTGTGAGTCATCGAGTGGAAATGATTCGATTAATGTAACTAAATGTATTTCATTGATAATAACCAATCAAAGAAAAAGCCAATGCTTGAATAATTACTTCTAATCTGAACAGGTAATTTAATTAAGGAGATGCTGATCGAAGGAATGGAATGGCCATCATACATTGTAATTTATGTTGATGAGACTCCAGAAATCAATACATAGAAGAAGTATGGATACACAATATGAAAGAGCAAAAGATTAAAAGATCAAAAGTTGAAATTTAACATTTAAAATGCACACAATTTCTATCAAATTAAACGTGTGATCTCAAAGTACAGCAGATGATAAACTTATGTTTTATTGAGCCTAGGTCAGATTGTAACTTGTAATTATATAATTTTTTCTTATAAAACTGGGATATTAAAATTAGCCACAATCATGCCTTTGTAAGGGAATAGTGACCTAATTTTGTAGATGCAAACAAAAACATAATGTTTAAGACATTAGCAACAATTTTTCTGGTGCTTTTCCTTAATGCTCTTTGAATATTCAGGAAAAATGAAATAGCTAAAATAATCACAATGTCTCCATAGATATTTAAAATTACTGTTATTAATATTGGTATTATAATAACAGACAATTTATTCATAGAAAATCTTATAGCCAAAAGAAAAATAATCTTGAAGGTTTGATGCATAAAAATGAAATTACACATCAGCACTAAATTTTGTTAGTCAATGATTGAGAAACTTACCTAGATAAACCAACTTGTGCCAAGTTTTGTTTTGCAAAAAATTACACAACGTATATAATTGACTGCATAATCGTCCTAATTGCTGTGAAGCAGCCAATTCATATTCTTGAAAGCAATTTGACCTCTGAAAGGTCATTGTTTGTCAAAAAACCTGCGCCTAAGACAACTGAAAAGCGGAGTTTCCTTCTTTCGTTCTGCCGGGTAAAATCAATAACTTTAGGCGACATTCAATTGTGGACTAACCTACTCGTACCAACGTCCGCATGTCGCGACGCTGGAGTACTATTCAGCGTTTTTATTATATTTCTAGGTTTCCTATTTCTACGTTTAATCGGCTCATGTCTCAGCCACAATATTTTGAGGCCAATATTATTTACGAACCCAGTTAAAATTATTTACTAGCCTATTTCAACGTGCTAATTATTACATTTAGGCGACGCTTGTTGTAGACTGGCAATACACATGCGCAGATCGATTCGCCAGCAGCGAGTCATCGGCCAGCGGCAGCGAGTCGCCAGCAGCGAGATGTCACTGCAGCAAAACACTATTGTCAAAACACTATGGTACAAGATGTGTATAAGAGACAGGATGCCATCTGTCATTAAGTTTGGCAAGTTTATACTCAATGTCATTGGACTTGAGTTCATTGCTGGCCTTCATTAAGCGTTCACCCAAGTCAATAAGCTGGTCTTTGTTGTTGCCTGCTGCTGCAATTTCATCTTTAAAACCCTGAAGGGAAAACATATAGCCACATAATCATATTACAAATGTATTTAATAATAAAGAACAATATATGAATAATTTATGCACAAATATCTAAAAAGACATCTGCTCCAGGGATAACAATAAAGAGCGTAACCTGATGACAAAAGACAAAGAGTGGGATATGTTTGTATTGTATTCATAATGATTCGGAAGAATATAATACATAAAAACGTGGTCTCAAAATGTTGTAAATGCAAAAAATATATATAATACTTATTCCTGAATTTAACCAATTATCCTAAATAAAAAAACATGTAACGAATTACTACAGTCTACAGATGAGTCAACAGTAGGAAAAAATAGCATAAAAAGTAAATATTGGGAAAAGAGTTAATATTCTGAATAATATGTACAAAATACAATTTTAAATTGATATTTCTTATATTTTAATTAATTTAACATAATTTATTCATGAGCAATATTGCTTCTTTTAAGAAGGTAATTGTCAAAAAATAAGCTTGCAAACAATCATCAGCAAAGAGATAAACATACAATTGATGAATTAATAAAATTATTCTTACAACATCAACAAAATATCACAAAAATATTCTTGTGAAGATTATTAAATAATATTTTAAATATTATCTGAACATGTAGAAATCAGGAATAACAAACAGCAAATACTAAATCACAAAAAAAATTATTGAAATTTCAAAAATGATACCTATAACAAAAAATCGCGAGAAAATTGGCATAAAAATTTAATTTGTTGCATATGCCAAAATGTATACAATATAAATTACCCTTTTCAGTAACCTCCGAAACCTCTATGCACGAGGAATGGAGCAATAAGCAACGTGAATACTGCCAAGCTAGCTACATCCTACATAAATGATTCCCAATCAAACATAACATACCTTCCACAGACGCACCCCTTGGGTTAGACTTGCTATCGTGTTATCTAGCATTGTTTTAATCCTATCTATCCTCAGCCTACAACTGTAGTATACAGTACTCTACACAGCAAATTCATATAAAATGTCTTCTACTGACTTTTACATGACCTAAACAATAATAATAATATCCATTTGTACGGGATGTTCCATTTCATTGCAGGGGAGGTCACAATCATATTAGATTGTGAGTCATCGAGTGGAAATGATTCAATTAATGTAACTAAATGTATTTCATTGATAATAACCAATCAAAGAAAAAGCCAATGCTTGAATAATTACTTCTAATCTGAACAGGTAATTTAATTAAGAAGATGCTGAAGGAATGGAAAGGCCATCATACATTGTAATTTATGTTGATGAGACTCCAGAAATCAATACATAGAAGAAGTATGGATACACAATATGAAAGAGCAAAAGATTAAAATATCAAAAGTTGAAATTTAACATTTAAAATGCACACAATTTGTATCAAATTAAACATGTGATCTCAAAGTACAGCAGATGATAAACTTATGTTTATTGAGCCTAGGTCAGATTGTAACTCTTAATTATATAATTTTTTCTTATAAAAACTGGGATATTAAAATTAGCTACAATCATGCCTTTGTAAGGGAATAGTGACCTAATTTTGTAGATGCAAACAAAAACATAATGTTTAAGACATTAGCAACAATTTTTCTGGTGCTTTTCCTTAATGTTCTTTGAATATTCAGGAAAAATTAAATAGCTAAAATAATCACAATGTCTCCATGGGTATTTAAAATTACTGTTATTAATATTGGTATTATAATAACAGACAATTTAATCATAGAAAATCTTATAGCCAAAAGAAAAATAATCTTGAAGGTTTGATGCATAAAAATGAAATTATACATCAGCACTAAATTTTGTTAGTCAATGATTGAGAAACTTTACCTAGATAAACCAACTTGTGCCAAGTTTTGTTTTGCAAAAAATTACACAACGTATATAATTGACTGCATAATCGTCCTAATCTTAGTATATGAAGTTACCAGAATTTAAGCTTTTGCTTAACAAGCCACTTGCTATAATACACAATGACTCATTCATCCAGGTAAGTATTCATGAAATAGGCTACACAAATCAACAGTGAAATACTTACCTGGACAAGGCCTACCCTCCCCTCCACATACCAATACAGATACTGGTCTCAGGGATAATAATGAAGATTAAATAATAATAATAATAATAATAACAATAATAATAACAATAACAATAATAATAATAATAATAATTATTATTATTATTATTATTATTATTATATTATTATTATTATTATTATTTACATTTATATAGCACATAATTGTGCAGTGCCCCTATACGCTTTAAATACATCAAATAATAAAATAAAAAGCATGAACAATTTCAAATATGTACAGGTCTTTTTTATTCCTAATATTTTATTATACTTTTTTAAATGAAACTTGTAATAAAAATCAATTATATACATGTACATTGGAGGATTGACAATTTTAGTTATTTTTTTCAAAGGTTTGTTCCAATAAAAGAAACTACTGTAGTCACTAGTAAGTATTCACCAGTCAACAACATAAACAAAATTTACCCTAAATACAGGCTCTATATAGCACCTCCCTGGTATACCATATAAATGCCATATACTATCTACTATAAATATATTTTTATAGCATAAAGTTTCTATTTTTATTACTTTAATTTACCTTGTTATTTATCATTGAATATTTTTGGAGAAAAAGTAAAAGCTAGTGACGTATCGTAACCCAGGGAGCTTACATCAAATTTGTTATGAAAATGTTCAAAACTAAACAGCATAATTTGTTTGAAATTAATCTACGTCATCCACTAAACCATGCGTACATTCACGTAACCATCTCAAATACTGTATGTATGACAGCCTCAACCAGATACTAGTATTATTTCAGCTATACTAACTTCACAGAGAGGTGCTTAATCATTGGCTAATCAGGTGTTTAATATAAGTGGATGCCTTAAAATTAGGATTTAATTATTCTATGAAGTCCAAGTATCAATAATATTGTTGATATGATGAGTTTCTGTTTTGTTTTTCTTTCCCGAGGTTTTTCCCAAATTGTTTA